TTGATGGGGCTAACAAAGTTCATTGGGCTGTTTTACAAGCTTATATGGATCAAGAAGATCCTGAGGATAGCTCAGAAAGTGAAGGTAACATCAATTTATATTAAATGTATGATAGCAATCAATACTCATGTTTTATACAATTATAAAACATGAGTATAGTTCACTTTTTGATTACAATTTCTTAAATTACAGATAAAAATTAAGTTCCATTGCAATTGAAATGAATCAGTTAAAAGTGTTTCCCTATTTAAAACATAATTTTCATATCATGAAGTGAGCTGATTTGTGGTTAGAGCTTGTGGTTGAAATGAATGGAAATCTTGCGTCCGCCACAACGAAACAACGGGGCAATTCTTGTTCTATATATAGAGTAATTATTCTGGCTATTCTAATACAAATTGAAATAGTTAACATTCAGATGAGGGTAACGATGATTTCGATGGCATAGAAAGCATTGGACAGAGGGATTTCGATCCCTTTATATCTGCATCTGGTTGGTACATTAAAACAGATTATTCTTCTGTTTGAAAATTTGACATATCTCCTTTATCTTTTAATTATTTGTGAGTTTCATTTGTTGTTGTTCTCTGGCTGTATAAGGTATTTCATTTGAAACTTGAAAAATCTAGGTCCTGTTATCTTTAATATTATTCAGATGTGTCAAATTTTTAGAAGTCGAACGTATCGACTATCGTATAATTTCAAAGATAGTATTTTAAATGGATTTTACATTATGTAAATTACAGTCAAGACGTTGACATAATGTTACATTCATTCCTCACTTTGGGGTTTGATGAATATATCTATTTAAAACTTATTATTTTCCAGGAGCCGATATGTCTCTGATATCCTCTACAACTCCATCCAACATCAGCACACCTTTGGGTAAGTGAGTGCTCAACTATACTATCTAGTTTGACTGTGAGATATTGGTTACGAAATATGACTGCTGCTGAATTAGTTAATACCATTAATTGATACATAACACTTACTGCAAATGTATGGCATGGATATCAAAGTAATTTGGCAGTGAAATTCCTTTGCACTTTTAGCGACAGTGAAAAGAAAATATTATAGTGACGAACATTTATTTGTTATTTTGCAAACTGCGATTGCTCTTTATTTTTTTCATGTTTCGTGTGTTTTAAGAACCTTAATAATATTGACTGAGATCCGACCACATAAAATAGTTGATAACAAATGTGTAGTATTTTGTTATAAACCCATATGTTACAGCCACTATTAGTTTTAGAATTCGAATTATCGTATAGTTTCAAAGATAGCATTTAAAATGGATTTTATATTATGTGAGTTACAGTTCGAGGCGTTGACATAATTTTACATTCATTCTCACTTTAGGGTTTGACGAACATATTTATTGACTTATTATTTTCCAGGATCAGATATGTCTGATAACAGTAAGGATACCCCCCGCCATTGTGTAGCAACTCCTCCACCTGTTATCATAGAAGAATCAGGTAACCTATGAAAAGCACGAATCTTTGGCAATTGAAGAAGATTAACATATTTTAGTTTTATTATATACTCGTCATCAGCTAACTAACGACTTGCTATTGACTCACACTTCACTAGCTGTTAATGAGTAATAAGTACTAGTTACATTTTTGTATCTATATGATCGGGATTTGGGTGTTGGTAGGCACTGAATTGTCAAATGCCACATGAATGAAATATGCCGTACCTGTGCATATCGTATCGTATTGTATTTTAACAGAGATATCGTTATTGAAATAGTTTTTTCCATTATTGCATCTTTTGCATTTGTCTAATAGTTTAACATCACAGGTTCTCGCTCATTCATGGGAGTGGATTGAGCGCAACGGTGGTTATGGAATCACTAACTATAGTGAGGAACCGCTGGAGTCAAAACAGGGGAAAGCAAGGAACCTTCGCAACCACAGTTGTTTCCAAGGAAACCTAGAAAAGAACCTGACGCAATGTATTCAACATATGTGGTTGCAGGGCGACATCACCATCAATAAACCGTTCTTTGCAACGACAAAAAATGTAAGAAATATTTACATATAGGAGGATTTAAGGATGGAATCTTATTTAATGCGTGTGATCTTTTATACTTTAGTTTTTGTCTACGGCCAAATATGCTGATTTAGGAACAATCAATAACACCAATGATTATCGTCGACTTGACTTTAATATTATATATAAATTTCAGAAGAAACGTCATATCGATGAATCTCACCGCTCTTATGCAAAAATTATAGACAAAGACTCAGTCAAGTAAGAAATCCTTGTGATAAATACTTCATTTTTAACGAGGCTATGATATTAAAAAATGCTAGGGCGTTGAAGCCTTGTACTTACACAGCGGAAAAATCTTAATGAATAAGATATGAATTGATCGAAATTTCATTCATCTTATCCATACTTTCCATAGCAGTCTTCGCTGCTGACTTAAAACTCTATAGAAAAACTTTAAAGGTTTTATTGTCCGTCAAAAAACAAGCATGCAATTTTAGGAAAACAAGTCAGCTACACAAGAAAAGAGTTCATTGATAAGGAGTGTGACTATAACATTATCTCTCCGAGAACAGATGTAAGTTGAAATTACTATCCCAAATTATTTGCCCCTGCTGATGAAAAATGTTTTATTGTGATTCGGAAAGTTATTATATATATCATACAATTTTGACACATCGCAACTCACTACTTACTGAGGTTATGTTTAAAGTCGTTTCACATTATTAATCTTTGACAGGGAGTTAATTCTGCCACAAAAGAAAAGAATGAACTGATGAACTCGTTCACACTACCCCTCGCTCTTCAACTGTTGGAGAAAACTTCCTTCTATCGCTGCTCGCAACACAGCAGAACTTGGTTTAATTCTGTGCGCTCAAATTTTGCAAACGAGGCCTAAAATACTGTAGGATAGACTGAATCGTTTCAGTAACTTTCTTGATCATCTTTAGAAACTCTTCCAACAATGTTGGAAAAGTCCAGTTTGCCTGGTAAAATTTCAGAATTTTGCTCAACTTCACGGAAGGCGCGAGTGCCACATCTATGAATTGTGGAAAAAGCAAGAACTGTCAGTTTAGATCAGAGTTAAATTTGAATATAATATGGTCGGTCGAATATAATATAATGAATTGGTCCAAAGCCATCAGGCTTTTCGCACTGGCCAGTGATGCTTTTTGAAGGGAAACGCTACAATGCTCATCAAGGAGCAAATCCTAGTTCGCATAGTGCGTACCCAATATCAAACGCATCATGAAATCCATTTTCTGAATTAGGATTCACATTTAATCATCAAAACTCTTTTTACTGATTGTTCAACAGAATGAGAGTAAGTAGTGGTAGTTTTGAATTATTTTCAGTCTTTCAATATCGATGGGGTTTGATAATAATTGGGCCTTGGGAACATATTTCCAATCCGGAGTTATGGCAAATTACGTGTTAGTAATAATGTCAATGATTATATCTGTGTTCGTGTATTAATCTAACTACTGACTTTATTTGTTTATCTCAATAAGATATTGTATTTACCTTATATTTATAAATAATATAGATAAAGCAAAAGCATTCGAACGGATGTGGGTTCGAGTCTAGCCAGGGGTTGATATCTACGAAATTTTCGGAATCGCAGAATGCAACCTCTGGCCAGACTCGAACCTACACTGAGTTTACTCATTGCTTGTTTCAATATGTAGAATTAGTCTTTTGCTGTCATGACCGAGCCATTGTGGTAACTGGTCATTTTGATACTATGTGTTATTATATTGTGCTACAATGCACTATTCGATCAAACTGATAACATTTTCAATTGTTATATTGTTAAGATTGGCGTTCAAAATTGCACGCGAATGTATTACAATAACACAGAAACATCGTCTTTGATCATCTCTATCTCAAAACCATCATGTCATACCATTCTGGAAATTTGCACACATAAAGTTAAGATGATTTCCAATATATTCTCATTTTTCTGGGAGGGCTAATAATGAGGGTCTTTTGCAGTGGTCTGTCGAAAACTGATTACTTTACGCACATTTGATAGTAAACTTTATTACGTGTCAGTACTCAGTAATAAAGTGAATGATGGAGTATTATATTTGTGGTAGTGTTTTAATCTAACTAATAACCTAATTTGTTTATCTCAATGATATCTTATATTTATAAACTTAATGGATGAAGCAAAAACATTAAGCTGGGTGTGGGTTCGAAGCTCACCGGGATTTGAAATCGAAGATTTCAACCCCCGGTGAGCTTCGAACCCACACCCAGCTTACTACTGACATTGAATGCATCCAAACAGTCCACTGATCTCATGATCGAGCTATTGTGGTAACTACTTTATCCAATACTATGTGTTATTATATTCTGTTACAATGCACTATTCTATCAAATCTCTAATATTTTCAATGCTTACAATTGGCGTTCAATGCTTACATCTTACAATTGGCGTTAAAAATTGCACGCGAATGTATTAAAATAACACAGAAACATCGTGTTTGATCATCTCTATCTCGAAACCATCTTGTCGAGCCATTCTGAAAATTTGCACACATAAAGTTGAGATGATTTCCAATATATTCTCAGTTTTCTGGGAAGGATAAAAATGAAGTTCTCTTGCAGTGGTCTGTCGAAAACTGATTACTTTACGCACATTTGATAGTCAACTTCATCAAAAAGTTAACTGATAAAATTTATACTGGGATGCAGAACAAAGGATTCTCTTTAAAACTGAAACATGAACTAATGATATGCCAAGTAAAAATAGAGCTGGAAGCCAATGGGAATCATGATGAAATATTTGCCTGGCAACACTCAGCGCGCGAAAAATCTCTAGTGCAATGCGCTTCCAGTGGTCCCATCGTGCAATTAATTAGCTCATTAATTAACTCACTTCAATTAATTAACTCATTGATTAACTCATTAATTAACTCATTAATCAACTCATTAATTAACTCATTAATTAACTCATTAATTGACTCATTAATTAACTCTATAATCCAACAACTCACATCTGGAAGCTGGGTTATAAAGTCGTGAGCGAACGCTTTCTTAGCTGCTTCAACTATCTCCTCCTTACTAACACCTTCCCTTCCGTAACGGATATTTTCCTGATTAATGAATATTATACTTTAAAATTATTAAAGTTTTCACTGAATTTACTGAATTTAAGTTAGTATGTAATGTAAAAGCAATGACTTAATTCAAAACGGTAAATAATAAAATTATACCGAAACAGAATCATCAAATTATATCGATCAATGATATTTAAGTATCGAGATTAATGATTAAATATAGGTTTAAATAGTGAAATTAGTGATTAAATATCCTAACCTCAACAGAGGTGGAGAAAAGCACAGGTTCCTGTCCAACTAAACCGATCTGTTCTCTTAACCAATGTAAATTCAGCTTTTTTATATCCACTCCATCAAGTAAAACCTAAAATATGTGTGCTGGTATATTCCATTATAGCCATAGGTATTCGTTAGATTGTTCGAAACAGACAACACGAGTATTTACTGTGACAACTAAATTAATGGTTACCATGACAACTACACTGGTTACCATGACAACTACACTGGTTACCATGACAACTACACCGGTTACCATGACAACTACACTGGTTACCATGACAACTACACCGGTTACCATGACAACTACACTGGTTACCATGACAACTACACCGGTTACCATGACAACTACACTAGTTACCATGACAACTACACTGGTTACCATGAAGCATGACAACTAAACTGGCCCTGGTTACCATGACAACTACATCGGTTACCATGACAACTACACTGATAACCATGACAACTACACTGGATACCATGACAACTACACTGGTAACAACTAACCGATCCCTCAGTAACATCGTAGAATCTCTCCAGAATAGCCACAGCAGTACTTTTACCACACCCGCTTTGACCAACGAGAGCGTGTGTTTTGCCAGGCTCTAGTACTAAGTTGAAATCCTTCATTATCTGAGGTTGAGAGATCAGAGAGTTAGCTGGTTATTAACTATGAGTGATTTTTCTGAGATTTACAGGGGTGACAAGAAGATTGGTACATCTGGAATCTGAACATATCATGTAGCACGACCAATTAATAACCCAAACGTCTCAATCGTTGAAAATATTAATCTGATTAAGCTATTAATTAAATAACACTACTATTAAATATTCGTTATGTACAAGTTCTAACTTTTATTCCATTTGATTAAACAAAATAAAGTAAAATGGTATTTACCGTAATATCAGATCGGGAAGGATAGCTAAAATTACAGTTTTTAAACTCTATTCTCCCCTCCAATCCTGGTATCGTCTCCCCTCCCTCCTCCTCGTGGTCTATCTTTGATTCCTGAAGTTTGACAGCGGTACAATACTTGCAAAATCTTGTAAAATCAATCAAAAATAACTTGAGGAGACGATGAATCTATTCTGATTATTCACCTTCTTCATAAAACAAAACACGTAAATCTCACAGACCCTATCAATAGTAGCGAATACTTTACAAGCAGCCCCACGCCCTACAGACCCTATCAATAGTAGCGAATACTTTACAAGCAGCCCCACGCCCTACACACCCTATCAATAGTAGCGAATACTTTACAAGCAGCCCCACGCCCTACAGTCATTATCTTCCACTGCGGAGCAGCGAAGCCCATCCCCCATGCTCCAATCAGGACGTTAAAGAAAGCAACTAGAACATCAGCTGGTTTAGTGGTCCCCTCCCCTGTTAGCTTAGCTCCGTACCTAGAGGGGTTACATTGTGGTTACTGTGGTATCTATGGTTACTGTGGTTACTGTGGTTATTGTGTTTACTGTGGGTACAGTGGTTATTGTGGTTACTGTAGTTACTGTGGTTACTCTGGTTACTGTAGTTACTGTGGTTACTGTGGTTACTGTAGTTACTGTGGTAACTGTGGTTATTGTGGTTACTGTGGTTATTGTGGTTACTGTAGTTACTGTGTTTACTGTGGTTATTGTGGTTACTGTGGTTACTGTGGTTACTGTGGTTATTGTGGTTACTGTGGTTACTATGGTTACTGTGGTTATTTTGGTTACTGTGGTTACTATGGTTACTGTAGTTACTGTGGTTACTGTGGTTACTATAATGGTTACTATGGTTATTGTAGTTACTGTGGTTACTGTGGTTATTGTGGTTACTGTAGTTTCTGTGGTTACTGTGGTTATTGTGGTTACTGTGGTTATTATGGTTACTGTAGTTACTGTGGTTACTGTGGTTACTGTGGTTACTGTGGTTACTGTGGTTATTGTGGTTACTGTGGTTATTGTGGTTACTGTGGTTATTGTGGTTACTGTGGTTACTATGGTTACTGTGGTTACTATGGTTACTGTGATTACTATGGGGGGGGGGTCAACCTCATTTTACCTCATTTTACCTCATCCCAATTTTGCCTTTTTTGGCTGGCCTCATGAGGTAAAATGAGGTAAATCTCGGCAAAAATTTTTAACAGGTAAAATTCTCTAAATCGTCAATTTAGTCACGAAGGAGTATGGAAGGAGTTCTAAATGTGTGCTCCTCTAATATAAACAGTAGGAAATGGTTAACTTTAGTCGAGGTCTCAGGTCTCTACAATGTCAGAAAGTTCCTGCAGGAATTTGCGCATTGCGCTTGAAGCGCAAGATTCACAGCGCCAAAAGCGAAGGTCGTAGAGACATGAGACCTTGACTAAAGTTAACCATTTCATACCATTGCTATAAGAGTATGCCACTTTCAGAGTCCTAAACACGCTCCCATTCTCTTAATCGTCAATTGTATGAATTTTACCTGTTAAAATATATCATCTTTTACTGATATCAATTTAGTTTAACACTGTTTGTTTTAAAAAAGAAAATAATACTTCACACCAAACTAACACACAATATGAGAATATAAAGAGGGAGGTTTTCTTGGAGACCTGGACCATCAAAATAGTGTACATTAATGCTGCTGTCATTGTCAAGACTCCAGAATAAGAGGGTCTAGTTGTGGGATTATGCTGGATAACAGATATGATAAGTGGTAACATCCTACAAAAGAATGTTAGCTTACTAAGGAATTTTCCTCTTACCGAATTATACAAGAAGTTAACTAAGTTCCTCCTAGTCCTAAGCATTATCTTGTTTCAGAGGGAATGAGTGATTTAAAAAGATGAGGCCAAAGAGTTAGTTGTGAAGAAGGAATTTGTACTCTGTAATTTCTAAGCTAATTTTTTTCGATATTTATAGCTATTTACTGATCTTGTCTTGACGTATCAGCAAGAGATCACTGGACCTCGTTAGTTGTTAGTCATGTTTTTTAATTTATTGACCTATTATACCTAGTGGTAGTTTTATAGACCACATTTAATTTATTAACTTATTATACTTAGTATTTATTTTTGGTGACTGTATCACCCAGTTTTAACATTTGATAATTGTACAGTTTATTGACGACACATTGACTGAGTTATTTTATATTCTAATCTATATTCTAGATATTTTATTTATTTTTCAACAGACGACAACTTCCTGTTTTTTTCTTCTATATTAGTTACTCATATCTCTTGTACAGACTGTTTTACAAGGACATTGACAGATGATACTCACATTAGGCATTCATTATTGCATCTAAATTATTTCACTTGCATTAGGTTTAGAAATTTATTCTCTGGTTAACAGATTTCAAATGTTTAATTAATTTGTAGTATGACAGTAATGTATATAAGAAGTTATTTAATTTTGCTTGGGCTATTATATTGACTACTGAGGTTTAATGATGATATGGAATTTTAATTTTATATGAATTTACACTATGTGGTTGGGGCATTTTGCATAGTAAATATGGTTACTACTCCTATATATCATATTATTTGATTGGTATTCGATTTCTGATTATTTCCCTAGGAATATGATTATTATATCTCAATTTGGCTTTAGGTAGGGTGCCCCGCTAAAAGAACTGGATTCTTCAAGGAAGCATCCCGTGCACAGAGCTTGGTCTACATATATATTAAATTATTAACCATTCATTCTGTATGTGCACGAAAATTTATTTCAATCAATGTTATGCTGATCCAGTTAGTGACGAGCTATGAAGTAATTATTCGATCTCATTTAATACTGATCCTATTAATGACGAGCTATGAAGTAATCAGTGGATCTCGTCAATGCTCATCCTGTCCGGACTGTCAGTGACGAGTTATGAAGAAATAAATGAAGACCTCATTAATTCCTTGTTCCAAGAAGATATTCCTCTGGTAACAACCCCTTCTGGCCTGCTTCTGAACATAATATGAAGATTCGAAAACCTAGTCTACCTAAATTTGAACTTGCTGACTGCATTGGAAAATGGAGAACAATCGAGAAATGATAATCAGTGCCAGGATATAATCAAAGTTGAATTCGGAATCCAAGGAAAACCTTCCTTTTTTATATTATCATATTGTGCGTTAGTTTGGTGTGAAGTAATATGTTCTTTTTAAAAACTAACAGTGTTTTAAACTAAATTGATATCAGTTAAGGCCACAGGGGGGGGTCCGAAGTCAATTTTGAGATTTTGAGATATGTTGTAGAGCTCGATCTAAATTTTCAAATGCTTTTGTCCTTACCGAAAACAAAGTTTCCTATTTGAAGATATCGCGCGTTGAATTTTGAGGTTTACCTGTAATTCTATTGTAAATGAAAACTTTAAATGAAATCGTGTTCAAAATCTATCTTCTTTTTCAGTTTATGACTTAGAACCTTGTAACTTGGCAACAATGTTCTTCAAGGTATTTTGAGTTTTTGTTATGTAACGATTTATGATATCTTGCTCCAAAGCTGAGATATGAGGTTAACCATGAGTGCGGGTTACAAAATTTAAAATGGTTAACCTCATAATAAGAGTTAGGAGCAAAATTACAACAATCGTTACATAACAAACTTTTAAATTTATGTCAGGAACATAAGTTCCAAATTTGAGGTGAAATGGATAAAAACTCTAGAAGAAGATAGATTTTGAAGTCAAAAATTCGAGGTTTTCAGGAGAGGCAAAAAACTGTTTTTTATGTTATGTGATTTTTGAGTATTTTGCTTTTATTTGTATATTTTTCAAAGTTTAACTGCTGAAATAACACAAAAACAATAAAAACAAAGCTTATCGTAGTTTTCAGTTGTAATGGCATCAATATTTCTGCCCTCCATTATCGATTTATCAAAAAAATGAGGTTAAATGAGAATTGGTTAACCTCATTTATAAAAAAAAGTAAAATAGCTACAGACAAATGAGTGGTGGCAAAGTATCCACCACAAAAATATATATTGATTCAAAGCATAATGTTTTTTTGCATTTTTTAAAGCCTCGACCCCCCCCCTGTGGCCTTAAAGATGATATATTTTAACAGGTAAAATTCATATAATTGACGATTAAGAGCTGTAGGAGTGTGTTCAGGACTCTGAAAGTGGCATACTCTGATAGCAATGGTATGAAATGGTTAACTTTAGTCAAGGTCTCATGTCTCTACGACCTTCGCTTTTGGCGCAGTGAATCTTGCGCTTCAGCGCAATGCGCAAATTCCTGCAGGAACTTCCCGACATTGTAGAGACCTGAAACCTCGACTAAAGTTAACCATTTCCTACTGTTTATATTAGAGGAGCACACATTTAGAACTCCTCCCAAACTCCTTCGTGACTAAATTGACGATTTAGATAATTTTACCTGTTAAAAATTGGTGAAAAATATGGGCGTGGCCCAAGTCAGTATTATACGAAACCGTATACACAAAAAATTGTTTGGTTATTCCTGATCCTATAGAGCAACTAATTAGAGGTGATGTCTAATTATTTGAACGAAAAGTGGTTCTGTAAAACGCCCTTTATTCTACAGCGAATCATGAACATTGAACATGTACATAAGAACTTAGAATTGTATGAAGTATGAGTTTATATGAGTAATTTATTATGAAATGACCTTTCACTATGCAATTTCGACTAAATTCATGGAGATATCCAATCCAGTTGTTGTTTACATTTGGTCTAGTTAGACACAATTTGTTTCAGAGTGACTCGATAATCGCAATATCAAATTAAGACATTATTTAAATGGTCCATGTCATGCAATGCGGAAATATCCCCATAAATTGGCAACTGCCAAAGTGACACTAAAGTTATTGCTAATTCCTTTACAAAACTTAGCACGTGCTATTAACAATATCCTAATAGATCATGGAAATTGAAATGTTCAATTTTCTTTTCATAAATGATAATTATAATGCGAAGTTTTATTTACCCCAAGTTTGGAGAGTAAGTAGGTTAAACTGGGAATGCCCCTTCCCAGGGACCACATCACCCCTAATAAACCATTAAATATCATGGGAGACCATGCACAGCTTCGAATTATAGTATAATGACTTCGAATAAACCTTTTTTGTCTCTAAAAAAGGCTTAGAAAACTAGATTTATTTACCTCATTTTACCTCATTTTACCTCATCCCAATTTTGCCTTTTTTGGCTGGCCTCATGAGGTAAAATGAGGTTGACCCCCCCCCCCCTACTATGGTTACTGTGGTTATTATGGTTATTGTGGTTACTGTGGTTACTGTAGTTACTGTGGTTACTGTGGTTACTGTGGTTACTGTGGTTACTGTGGTTACTGTGGTTACTGTGGTAACTGTGGTTATTGTGGTTACTGTGGTTATTGTGGTTACTGTGGTTATTGTGGTTATTGTGGTTATTGTGTTTACTGTGGGTACTGTGGTTACTGTGGTTACTGTGGTAACTGTGGTTACATGCTGTTGTAGGTCACAGTTATCATGCTATACAGATTAGAGCATATACTTCACTGAGTGCCATGCTAGAGTTGGTTCTTTTGCGATAGCAACGAGTGCTGGATAACGCTAGTTGACGCCATCCAGCGCTAGTTGTCGCTATCCAGCGCTAGTTGTCGCGTTTTCACTATCGCAATTTAAGAACCCTAGAGTTAACATCAAGGTCGGCATTATTGAGTGTAAGATGGTCTTTCTGAGAATTAAAAGTAAAATCGTACTCAAATAGTCTAATTGGTTGAAGATTGTAATTTCAAAATATTTTGAAAATCACCTATATTTCAATGTAGAGATGATTACTACATCGGATTACTCACCAAAATGCCAGTGCGTACATCAAAAACATGAGACCATTAACTGAGGCAAGAGATAAGGCATAAACTAGTGTGTTTTTCTTTCCAGTTTCCACTGTTGTGTCTAACTTTCCCTTATACCTGAAACATTACAATTATATTATGATTGAATACTTTAAAATAGTATGACAGTCATTGAATATTTATACAATTTTCTCAGGTTCAAACTACGATTAGATTTAACAAGTTAGTGATGCCTAAGATGATCGTTTACCACCGAAGACACAATATATTCTATAGCTATGGTCTCTAATCTACAATTTATATGATGTATTTTTAGCTCTCAGATCTGGAGTTAAGAAACCTCTACTTACCTCTGATAACATGACAACTACACAGGTTACAGGTTACCATGATAACTACACTGGTTACCATGACAACTACACAGGTTACCATGACAACTACACTGGTTACCATGACAACTACACAGGTCACCATGACAACTACACTAATTACCTCTGAACCTCTGTTTTCTCGCCCCCAAAAGCAACCACAGTCCTAATACCCCCGATAACTTCCTCTGCAACAGCCCCAGCTGCAGCGTAAGCAGTCTGCTCTTTTGCTGTGAAACCCGCCAGGACCTGGTAGTAATAACCCCAATAGTACAGAATATCATGATAAAGAAAATTTAAACGATTATAAGAAATAATTGATTTTACAATTCAGAATATGGCTGGTTATGAAAACAGGTGCGACTAGACGTCGAGGAACAACTTTAATTTAAGACTGCAAGGTTTTGAAATTTTAAAACTGAAATCTTTGTCTTTTTTTAAATCCTATTTCACAGAAAGTGCAAGTGCATTTTTATATTTGTTAGATTTTTCAACATCTTTTCAGCTTTTGTCGTACATTTAAATATTATTATAAACAGTAGCAAAATAATATGGTACCTTAGCAAAAATAGCACTAAGAACACCCATGATAGGTGCGACAGACATTATAACCAGGGATAGTCGCCAGGAGTAGGAGAAAGCAATCGCAATACCACTTAAAAAACAGAAGGTCCAAGTGACAAATAGGCCTGATTTGTCTGACAGACCGTCTCTTATCATCTCTATATCCCTGAATTAACGTTTATTACTGGTTACCATGAAAACTAGACTGGTTACCATGAAAACTACACTGGTTAAAACGACAACTACTGCACTGATTACCATGACAACTACGATAGTTACCATGACAACTGATTAAAAGATAATAAAAACATGCCAACCCCTGGAGTCTTGTAGTAAGTTCACCACTTGATACCGTATCATACCATCCCACCTCTTGTCTCAGCATTGCTCTGAAATACGCTTTACGCACTCTGGACGCTTGCCTCTCCGCAGAAATGTTTAAAAATGCTGTGGCGACATATCCAGCCAATACCTGGAACAGGCCCAGGCCAATGTACCATAATGCGAACGTTAACATTTCTTTTTGTATATTAATATTTGGATCATTCTCCATAGCTTCAGAATTCGATCCTAAGTTTTCAATCATTTCACCTGGAGAAACGTAAGTGGGTCAATATACGTTTAGAAAATGAAACTTCGAGATTATGTGAGTGGTAACTCATCAAAAAAACATTTTTAAACTTTGGTAATCTAGCAAGGCACACTTGGGGCACACTTGGGGTATACCACTTGGGGCAAAAGGTTACTTGAGGCACACTTGGGGCCACAGACAGCTGCTTTTTTAGGGAAGTTGCTCACTTAGATAAAAATTAGAGGGATGTTAGCAATAAATCAATTTGGGGAATTTTCTGGTACACCCTAATTTATTTAAAGATAATTTAATTAATAATAATAAATTACATTCTTACCAAAAATAATCATGATTCCAGGCCAGGAAAAGCCTTTGAACATCGCAAACAGGAATCCAGTTAAAATCAAAAGCCAGTCAACTGCTGTTGCATATCGATACTGAAATATACATGATGTGAATTTTCAATATTCGGGAATTTGCTGAACAGCAACCTCTACATGATTAAGTTAGGCCTTTTGTATTCAATTTTGAAAATCTTGGACGTCGTTTTCTTACGATTTTTTAAGGTCCAAGATTTTCAAATTAAACAAAAAATTTAAATAAAAAAGGGCCTATCTCAAAATTTTGTCTGAGCGGTCTCTTCTAAATGGTGCCTAGAACATATCCTGAAAGTTTGAGGGTGATTGCTAAAAAAATGTAGGAGAAGATAGATTTTAAGACTCGATTTCCAGGACACACAATTCAATTACACATTAGCGCTGACATTAGACCAGCGATAATTTCGGCTATGCTAGGAACAATATTTTTTCCATGGGACCAAAAACAGCTATCACTCCCCTCTATCAGCAACAACTTCAAAGTGAATTTCAGAGTGAATTTTGACGAAGACCCTTCTCCCGGCCCCCTTAAATATGAAATCACAGGTAAGGAAGGTAAGGCCCTAACATTAACGAATAATTAGTTATAGTTACTTACATATTCAAGGATTCCAATAAGAGGTTCTTCTTCCTTTTTTTCCTTCTTTTTCTTGCCAGACTTCTCCTTCCCCCTGAATGAATGTGGTTATTTCGATAGGATTTTCCAGATATGATAGTTGAATGTACATGTGTGCAACTATAATGCTTGTGTCTTTTCCTAAAATTTCAGTAGTCAATAAAACGAGTTGATTGTTTTCAATGTAACTGTACAGTGGCCGTATCGTGACTGTATCGTGGCCGTATAATAGAGGCTGTATAGTAGCCGTATAGTGGCTGTAAAGAGGCCGCATAGTGGCCTTATATAGGCCATATCTACCAATTAATCTCCAAATAATAAACAATCAAGTACATACTTTTTTGAAGGTTCATCAACCTTAACACTGACATCCATCGTTTCAGTTTCATTCAAACCGTTTGATAGCACACTTTCCGATGCCATTGTAACACCTAAATGAAAGAGGAAGACAATAAGAAAATAATTAGTAACAAGTGAAGCACCCACAATTAGCTTCGCTTTTGAAATATTTTTTTATGAATAAAATCTACCACAGCCCTGAAAACATCCACAACCCCCAAAACACCCATCTTGTACCCAAATGACACGGTTTGATTTGGTGTGTTTGAAGTTATTTCAACTCTTCATTCTATGTGTCCAATAGTTCTACCTGCAGTTTTGTTGCCCCCCCCCCCCCCCCCCCCCCCCCCCCCCCCCCCCATTCAAACGACGATTTTGCCCCCCAAGATGACCCCACTCCCCCACACAGCAGGGTCAGCGACTCAGCAGGGCCCTTTGTTACGCCACTGTTCCAACTGGTCAACAGCACGCAGCAGATCAGCAATAATTAATCAATTAAAAACAATGAACAAAATTGGATGTCAGTAAATATACATCTTTTCTTGACTAATTGCCCACCCATGGTCCACATATTAATCAAGGGGTTCCTTGTAAGGAAACTATAAATAGTTTATGGTTGGTTATCAATAACATCTGCAATCACAAAATCAACCAATTACTCTTGTCCTAATATTTAACAATTACCCAAAAACCACCCACTAGCCTTACAAACATCAATGTCTACTACTGAAACCAAGCAACTCTTATCCCAATGACAACTACTCATCCTCAAACACTCAAAGTTGATTAAGAACAACCCCCACCATGACTACTGCAGCAGGAGATGCAAGTTAATAAATAACCTCTTGGAACCAGTATATTTTTACCAGTGATCAATCAGTGAGGTCGGTGAGAGTGACACGAGTCACCATCATGCAAAGTACTGGAATCAGTATATCCGGAAAAATATTGATGCAATGAAAATTTTGAATATGTCCCACCAGTAGCTGAAATTCGAATATTGAATATGTCCTTGCGTTGTATAAAATGCCTTTTATCGTGCGCGCGCCGACAGCAGGCCGGAAAAAGTTTTCCCGTTTATTCTTTTCTGTAATAAGAGGTACACTTGAGTGCCAACTGTCACATCTTTTCGTTATTTCTGATAATGATATCATGATAATACAAACAGTGTTTACTGTTAAACCAAAAGTTTTCATTAAACCATTGTAGCGCGATGCACTACTGGGCCGCGCCGCGCATCTTCTCGCATGTGCAGATCGGCGAGATGCGAAGGATTGACATCGTGAATCAAATTAAACCATAACTCCACTTCCAGACCACCGATTTACAAAATACAAAATAAATGTTTGCTGCATGTTTAAAGCTAGCAAATTTTGAAATATTCTTTGTTCTTCTACGTTAAAAATAATTGATGATGGTCATTTGTGCTGCAAAATTTGAGGGTTTCGACGCGCCGCGCAAACTATCATTCTTACTTTGCAACGAGATCGTTGCTTTGTTAATTCGTAAAGCAAATTAACGGGTTGACTTCTTCAATCAACAGCTGTTGAAACAGTTATCACACTTTCCCAAAAAACCTTACCGCCTGCTGGGCTCGCTAGAGGTGATAGATTTTCAACAGCACGTTTGTCGTCGCGCGTCAAGTCAAGTTTACCTTTCGCACGCTGCATTTACGATTTAGCCTAGTAGTCATGACAAGTGACAACGACATTACTTTGCAAAGTTTAAAATCTGTGATCTTTTATTTAGCCCAAAATCAAACTTTTCGGTTTAATTCAAAATTTAAGTTGTCCCAAATTTGGCTCCTGGGGAGCTAACTTTAAATTTAAAAGACGGAAATTTTGTTGAAAACCGGAAGGTTCTATCTATTTTACTTTTGGAGATATACCCCAGCCGGTATAGTAGGGTTTCCTGGGCCGGTATTGTAGGGTTTCCTTGTATCACGTGGTGACCCCCACGGTCGCTTCACTATAGTGACGACGCTACAGTGACGACGCTACAGGGGGAGCCGCGCACTTCGTGCGCGGCGGGTCATACAACGTATGACAAGGGTTTCCTGGGCCGAACCTACGCGCGTTTAAAAGAATTTGCGCTTTTACATTTTATTTTAAAACGTTCATTTTGACAAACCATAACTCTCCACCAATCAAGTCAGATTTCAATTTTAAAATATCAAAAGAAAGTAAAGAATTTTGCCAACAAGAAAGGGGGCCTTTGGATGGGTAGATAAAAACGCGATCTTTGCCCTCAAAATTGACTTTTAAAACTTCATACATTTTCCGCCGAAATTATAAGTCTTATATCGCAAAACATCCCCCTACCTCCCTGCAACTCCCCCCCCCCCCTTCAACTTCTCCCCTTCCTTCTGCTTTCTTTTGCAGCTGAACTATGAACTCTCAGCTCTCTTGCCTACCCAGAAAACCTTACCGCCTGCTGGGCTCGCTAGAGGTGATAGATTTTCAACAGCACGTTTGTCGTCGCGCGTCAAGTCAAGTTCACCTTTCGCACGCTGCATTTAGCCTAGTAGTCATGACAACGACATTACTTTGCAAAGTTTAAAATCTTTGATATTTTATACAGCCCAAAATCAAACTTTTCGGTTTAATTCAAAATCTAAGTTGTCCCAAATTTGGCTCCTGGGGAGCTAACTTTAAATTTACGAGACGGAAATTTTGTTGAAAACCGGAAGGTTCTATCTATTTTATTTTTGGAGATATACCCCAGCCGGTAGGGTTTCCTGGGTTGTAACAGCATATGTATCGAGGATAGCTTCACAAATAAGAACATCAGTAAATAAAATTGCCACAAGTGTTTCTCTCATTCACTTTCGATAAGACACATTGGAAATTCTTACTTCCATAAGATTCGGAATTTTTTTAAACGCCGAAGAATATAGGAATTTTATCAAATTTAATCGCACTAATCAACCTTTAAACGGTTAATCGAACACAATAATTTTTAAGCTTGTGAACGCTGAAAATTACATTTTAACTACATGCAAAGTTGTTTAACCAATTTTGATTTTTGATCATTATCTACAATGTAAATAAAACACTTTCTATAATTACTCACGTTCAAGGTTATAGTCACGTGACTTCAGGCTCATAATCACGTGACCTCAGACCCAATCGATTGGGTTCTGGGGCCTGGTCAGCCCCCTGTCATCCGATCTTGAGGTGACGTACGACACCTCGTTAACCCAATCAATGTCTGGAAGGCTGCAAATTTTCACATGCCAAATTCACAAGATTCTTAAAGAGTTGTGCGAGATGACGATACATAGAGGCCGCAAAATTATGAGGACTGGTGGAACCTAAGCGATCCATGACATCACGACAGGGCCTAGAAATCAGAGCAAATATGAACATAAAACTGACAAAATTTTATCAAATAGGGCTTATCTGAAAATTAACGAATAGCGTGACGTGTACAGGAGATAAAAGATTAAAAGAGATATCAGACAAAAGAAATTAATGGACAGCAGAGAAGTGAAATTTAAACGAAAATATTTACTATTTACACGTCACTTAACTAAAAACTGTGTTAGATTGTTCAACTCTGTTTTGTCGTTGAGTGTTGGTTTCATTTCAACTAAAAATCGGGCTTCTTTAATCTTTCTGTTGATGAGTGATGTTCCTCTGTCTACGATTTGAAGTTTTAGCTTAGGGGGGCCAGTGTGCTGAGGGTGACTTTCCTATGTCGATCTTCTTGTAGACGTTTTCTTGTAAAACTCTGCTGTTTTGTCAGCGACGGAAATTTGAAGGTCTTCAACACCTACAGGATAAACTGGGCAAACAAAAGTACATACACAAGTTAACTAAAACTCTAGAAGACGATGTTAAGTCAACATTCAAGAACATTGCCAAGAGTCGTAATCTTCCTCAAGATGTCACTAACCTGTTAATGAGTTATCACACCACCCTCGCTACTGCAAGAGTGATGCTTAAAACCCACAAGTACACAAGTGAGCAGATCAAGACCCTTAACCCTGACACAATGAAAACTATACCTATTGTTTCAGGCTGCAACTCCCCTTTTCACAAAATCTTTTGCTTTGTCTGTCACATTCTATCTCCTCTGATGAATCTAGTACCTTCACATTTGAAAAACATTCACGATTTTCTTCAAAGGATTAAAAGAAACACACCAAATGATCTGAAGAGTCTTACTTTCTTCACAGCAGACGTCGAAGCTTTATACACCAACATCAAGCAATAGAAGATGTCATGGAATTTGCTAAAGAAAATAGACAGTCAATCAGTACATACGGTCTCCATCTCTCTGATTTACAAGAACTACTAGAGACAACCCTACTAGTACTACCCTAGGAAAGTCATATTTTGTCTACAACAATCAAGTCTATCTACAGCTTCTTGGATTGTTCATGGGAACCAACCCTGCACCTATACTAGCTACTGTCAAGATGTGGAAACTGGAAAAACTTTCCATCTGCGTTGACCTGAGGATAACACTGCCCACCTACAGCAGGTTTACGACGATCTAAACGGAGCCACCACCAACAGACGAAAAGCTCAGCAACTTTGCAATCTCATCGAACAACAAGACCCTGACAAACTTATCAAACTAACTGTAGACTACCCTGACAATCAGCACAACTTTGTTCCCTTCCTCAACACGGAAATAAAGATCGACTCAGATGGAATAATACATTCTAGACTCTATAGAATTAGAAAACCACAGAAAAAGCCACTCACCCTCCACTACAACTGAAACTCTCATCATACAACACGTACAAAGAATGCAACTGCTACTGTTGAGAGTATGTACAACACCGCAGAGGCAGTCTCTAACAACAGAGAAAAAGAGAAGTACTCCGAAAAGATGATAGATCAACTTCTCATTAACAACGGCTACACTGCAGAACATGCGCAGATTTAACCGATGGAGAATGCACCACAACAAACACCGTCTATCACATCACTTTCGAAGTAGACAATTGCACCGAGAACTATGGTGGGGAAACATACAGACCACTCAAGTGCAGGTTCGACGAGCATTACCGTAGTGCAGCAAACCCAACAGCAAAATCTTACGAAGATAAGCCACTATCAAAGCACTACAGGGAAAGTCA